AAAACATAATATTATTAATATAAAACTTTAATATTACATAATTCTTTGTTATTTTCTTATTAAAATATATATTTATCTGAATTTATTTATTTTCTTTATTTTTTCTTATATAATTTATTTTTATTATTTATTCTTTTATTTATTTATTTTATTTTTTAATATTTCAATTTTTCGCTATGTTAATATATATAGATATAGAATCTTAAATATTTATTCTTTTAATAATATAAATTTAAATTTACTTACACATAATCTATTTGATTATTGAATAATATATAATAACAATATAACAAATAAAAATAGTAATATTTTTATGCAATTCTGACTAATAATTATCAAGTTTTCAAAATTTTAATTTTTATCAATATATTCCTATCCTTCCAAAATTTTATTTTGTATTTTATAAAATAATTTAGTTTATTATAATTTTTTGTTAAATTTATCTTAATTTATTTAATATAATTATATTAAGTTTTTCTTCAATAAATAAAGTTTTCATTATAATAACTTTAACTTCATCATAATGTTTCTACTCACTTTATTGATTATTAAATAAAAAATAATAAAATATTTTATTTGGCATACCATGAAATTAAATGGTTTTCTCTTATTACTTAATACATGTAATAGTTTAAAAAATAAAATTCAAATTCTATTGATTATTTTGTTGTAAGAATAAATAAAAGCTTAAATTTAGCAAAAATCAGTTCAAATGAATTTTTATAGTTCAGTTTCACGAACCGTGCCATATCTTCAATTGGGCTTAGATCCAATGTATAATAAATCAGTGCAAATTTTTGTATCGCTATTAATACAATTCGACCTGAATTTTCCATAGTGCACCGCCACTCAAGTATCTAAGCCACACGCATGTGAAACTTAATAGCCTCCCATATACATGTATATGTTAAGAGAATAATTAACTGGCCTTATCAGCAACAAAATGAGGCTGAATATGAAATCGGCTACGGATTTTTTATCGAAAAGAGGCATTAGTTATACATTTAATTAACGAGAAGATACGACATCTGTTTGTAATTTTTTGTTTTCTGTATCGATGTTTCTCCTGCATATTCCTACGCTCTAGATGTTCGATTTAACTGTAAATACATTTCTTTTAACATCAATTTTAATAATTTTTTCTTTGTCTACAAGATATACATGTATATTAGTGTGTTAGATCCTAGACTATTTACTAGAAATGTTCAGCTTTAATATGTGCAAATAAAGCTTATTATATGAAGCGTAATTTTCGTTAGCATGTTCGACTATTATAATACCATCTTAGGCGATTTAAATTAAAAATTCTTTTAACGTTTCCTCCCAGAAAATAAAACATGTCAACAAACGCTCCAATAGTCAGTCACACGATTGTGAATTAACCAATGATATTCTTGGATATTACGGAAATAATAACGTTAAACGAAAAATCTATTTCGAACCGTCTTATGTCTGGATGTTTCGTAATAACCCATCATGTTGGTGTCTTAGTGTATTAAAAAGAAACTAGAAAGCAATTCCATTTAAACGTCTCGATATCTCTTCTCAGTCGGTGTTTTTTGAAAATAGTCTTATAAATATTCCTTCTTCAAACTTCCTATGCTCTAATCATCTATGAAAATGCACAGTAAAATTGGATATAATGAAGTGGTCCGTTCCACCCATTTTTTCGGTATAACCAGGCTTTCGTTATATTCAGGTAGAAAATTATATTAAAAAAATTTTGTGCATCAGAAAACTTCATTATAAATGAAAATTCATTTTTATTCAGGTTTCGTTACATCCAGTTTCACTGTGTGTCATACAGATTACACAAGGCATTCAATAGACAAGTTTTAGAACGATGTTTAAGACATAACCAAGATTCAACCGAGTTATATGTATTTTCCAATACACAAGTTTTTGTATAATACATAATCAGTATTATTATCGTTATTATTGTCGGATAATTCATCCAATCGAAAATTAACTTACAAATTCTATTTATATTGAATATTTAAGATTGGAATTAGATTATAGTTGGATTAGAATGAGCAAAACTCGTCTTATAATGTAAAATTCCGCAAGGAACGTTTTTATTTAATGATTAAAGGCTAATTTTTGAGTTATAAGCAATTTGAAATTCTGCTCACGTGATATGTGATATTGATAAAAAATAGCTTATGCTCTGGGTAAAAAATGTTCCTTGCAAACTTTGTATTAGACTATATTATTTTAAAACTATTCTTTTGAAGATGTTGCAAATTTTTTGTAACAGAGTTTTCAATAAGATTCAATTATTTTTCTTGTATACATGTACTTTTGAAATGCCAGAGATGCATATATGAAAAAGAACAAAATGCAACTTATTGCAATCTTTCTTGTGAATGCCGATATAATAAAAACATTCAAAAAAGTTAGTCATCATTTGATTGTGTAATTCAATTGAGTAAATAGAATCAGACAAAATATGCTTTTAATGTCAAATACAAAGGCGCGCATGTTAAATTATACCGAAAATTTCTTGATTGATATTCTTATTTGTTCAAAGAAGAAATAAAATCAATACAATTTATAGCTCAGGATATCTTCTCAGAAATGATATATCGAATAAAGGATGCAAAAAAGTTTTTATAATACATCAATTGATTCTACTTTGTAATAAGGTTCATAAAAGCATGCAAAAGAAGAAATTCCATCAAAACTGGAAGAAAATTCTTTAAAGAAAAATACGGCCTATCGGCAAGATTAAAATCAAAATTGGGTCTCAAGAATTGGAATCTTCGAACAAATATTTTATTTGATCATGAAATTACAAATGCATGCAAAAAATATGAAATTGTATCATTCATGTGGATTACCACCTTTTTTTACAATTATGCAATGTAACACGTTAATAAGCCACAACTGTTGGACACATATTATTATGTGCTATTTTAGCTATAGCATACCATAATTCTGGCCGGCATTATGCTAATTTATAATAACACATTAATTACAACTATGAATATTTAAAAAATTGTTAGTCAGAAAGATCTTTTTTTCGAACTTATAACTCTGGCCATATCCCTATCTTAATTTTGGCCGAGTTTCTATAAGTTGTAAAATGGTCAATAAACTTTGACGAGAGTAATATTATGAAAAACGACAAGATTTTGATTTTTCTTTTATAATGAAATTCAACTTACATAATGACAAGTACGTATCGGTATCGAGCAATCATTCATGTATAATAAACATTGACATTAAGGCTAGCTCAATTGTAATGGTGGTGTAATGGACCTGTTGCCTAAAATGGGCATTTGCGTATATGCTTTGCTTCATACCATTTTTTTATAAGAATACATTAAAGTTCATTGGTGTCTTATTCATTTTTAATTAATGATGAATTTTATCAATTAGAAATGCTTGCATGCTGTAATATTGCATTTCAAAAAAATACTATCATTTTTGAGAGTAGAGTACAGTACAGTACGTATAATAATGTCAATTTTTTGCTGAAAATAATGGGAAAAAAATGGAAGCTATGAAAATTCTTCCATCTTTTTTTAAGTTGTCTTTTAATGCAAAATTCAGATAAAATTTATCTTTTCATTATCACTTTTAATTATTATGACTATTATTCTTTGCAAACATTCTAGAGAATTAAAAAGTCTCTTTACAACAATTTCTATTTCAAGAAGAATGAATGTAAATTTGCAGAGACAACTACCAACTATTTTTGCATTTTTCTTGATTCTATCTATAATATTGTTAAAAGATGTGGATGCTTCTTCATTGCCAGTCCAAGGTCATTGTTCAGTAACGTACAAAGATAGAATTTATATTTTCGGTGGATCATTAAATGACCTCTCTAGTCCGCAAAATTGTTTTCTCTCCATTCAAGCGCCATTTGACATTGTTACCACAAATAATAGTTCAAGTGGAGATAACCTCGAATGGACGGTGGAAGAACAAAAAGGGTCAACTTGTGTTAGTTATGCTGCCTGCGTGACAACATCCTCCGGATATCTTTTAGTAATTGGAGGCATTCAAAGTTGGAATAATAATACATCGAGTCAAACTTTCCAAATTTATGATTTTAATGCTGCTCAATGGGTTGAATCCTCAAAGAAACTCGATGAGCCTTATCCCGGTGCTTCATATGGACCAAGTGCAACATTTTTATCTACAAACTTATTATTTATCTATGGAGGAAATACATTGAATTTATCAGAAGTTTCTTTTCAATCAACTGCCTTATTTCTTGATATAAGTGGAGAGAAATGGTATTGGACAAAGAAAAATCGAAGTGTATGTCTTGCTTTCATCTTATCGTTTCTAAGAGATTATTTAATTAATTTAAATTATCTATCGTAAAATAAAAAGTCAAAAATAGACGAAACAGACGCCTCTTATTCTGGAATAATTTCGGTGAATTCAAATACATGGATTTTTGGCGGATCAGTTTATTCCCAAGTCCACAAAAACCTAAGTAACTCAGACAAAATTTATACCTTCAACACAGACAAGCAATGGATTCCCGCAAATGTATCATTGCCATTGGCCGTAGAACAATCCGCAATCGGCCTTCGAAAAAAAACATTGTTTGTTGTCGGATATTCAAACGAGACTTTGTTGGTCTGGTCATTTGATTTGGTGAGCCAAAAATTTGTAGAAGTTTCACGTAATACGTCAATTTCCGTGCAGAAATTCGCACATACTCAGTTTCCAGGTTCCGATGCGTTAATGGTAAGCGAGCATATATTGAATCTGCACTAGAAACTTTTCATTAACTTAGACTTTATTTTGTAGCTTCATGGAAATTTTTGTCCAAAGGATGAAACAAAAGAATTATGTTCAACCACTGGAAAGTTTAAGATTTTCAATATGACAACACTCTCATGGACAAATACAATGAATATTGTTAATATTTATAATAATAGTATTGATAGCAATAATAATTTTGATCTAGCATCGAGTAATGATAATAACAACAACAACAGCAATAATCCAATAAATCCTGATAATGCTAATGCTTCAACTTCAAAAACAAAATTAATAGAAATTATAAGTGGCGTTGGTGGTGGGGTAGTTTTAATAGCAATATCTATTGGAATTGTCTTTTGTATTCGTAAAAGACGAAAGAATCATAGAACTAAAAAACCAAAAACAAACCAACAACAACAAACTCAAGATGAGAACGAATCTGGAGGTGATGATATATTACCAACTGTAGTACGTGAACCATCATCATCACAGATAAATACTTCCTCCTCAATTCTCTCCACGGAAATTGATCCATTTTCTTATCGGAGTTCACAGCACACTTCTCACGCTCGAGGAAGTATAGGGTCACGAACAATTTCGCCAACGAGCTTTCGACCCGAAATCAGTAGTCTTACTGGAGAATCTCCAAAAGATTCACAAATTATGGATGATTTGCCTCTTCCTCCTCCTCCCGTGGCCGATCATTATGCTGGAAGATCTTCTATTGGACAACAGCATGGCACTGCTAATCTCGATAATTTGCCAATGTCATTTTACTCGCATGAGAATGGAAATAGTTCCCCGCCACGCGAATATAATTTATAATGTCAAACATTATTTTTGGTGATATAGTGTAAAGTTAAAATTAATATATAGAATATTATGCATTATAATAAATTGTAGTTTAAGTGTGCGTCCCGACTAATCTAGAATAAAGCTCGGCTATCTTGTGTTTTCACTTACTCAAATTGTTCAGGTATTGAGGGCTTCTCAAAATAGCACATATATAGTGAACCTCTCTAAACGCAATTCACTGGGGGCATATTTAATAAAATACAAAGTAGGCATTTATAGAGTAAAAGAATTAGAGATCTTATAAGCTTGGGACCACCCATATCTTGCACAGAGAGGTTATATAGTGTTAACATTTATAGAGGTTGCATTTAGAGAGATTTGACTGTATCCGCTATAATAAAAAAATATTCACTTAACGTTAGCTGAAAAGTTCAGATTGGGACTTCGGATAACTGAAATTTATTGTGTAAATATAATTAAATATTTCTCTTGGACAAGAAGATTTATTGCTATATTTCTTATTAGAGAAAACTTCATGGAAGTTATCAACTTTATCTATTTTATGGAATTTGTCATGTTTTATTTAGATATCGCAATTTATAAAACATCTAGTCATCAAAAAAGATTTAAAATCAATTCCGAATAATTTAGACTTGTCATCAAGTTTCTTCGTTGATCATACGCAAGTAGTATTCTTTTTTTTTAGCTTTTCAAGATAGCAAGAATGTTAGTTTAATGTTGTTTGCTCCATTCAAAAAAAATCTTAGCGATAACGAAATGATAAATATGCAAATTCTTTGAGCTTTGGCGGGCTTAAAAAAGTTTAGAGTACGTATCAACATTACATGCACGTAAGTTTGATTACAAGATTAATGCTAGTATGAGAATAGAAATACGACTAAACCTTCTATGGCATGTTCTCTCAAAAAAAAATTACGTGATTTTTTTTAATAGTTTCGCTTTCATATGTTAACATGTTTGGTTTTTTCTATGGAGTACAAAAGTAAATTAATCTCTAAACTAGCGTGATGAAAACAAATTATTAGACTACGTAAAACTAATTGTACTCTTCTAAATTGTAGACAAAAAAAAATTATTATTATTATTTTTCTTTTTAATGGTATAAAGTAGAATAAAAGTAAACCAAAAACTAGATCCATCCAACGTTGTTGAAAAAATCCCACATCTTGCACGACTTGTTAACGTCCATCTTCATTATTTTCTGAGCATCGCTCTTTAAGAATGGTAATCCACGCGAATAATAACGGCGAGCCGTAGAGATAAACACGTGTTTTACAGTTAGATACTGAACCGGGGTTAATCGTAACGTTGAAGCAACCTTTGCCTCTGTTTGATGTAACAATGTGTAATGAGGAAGTTGCTCGATTTTCAAGGGATTTCCTTTCCACGTGATAGTTTGTTGAATGTTCAATGGTAGATTGTCCAAGTGCATTCGATTTAATTCGTGGTAAATATTGTTAATATCCGTTGAATGATGTGAAGGAAGCGGAACTTTAGAAACGTTCATGTCTCTTGGACGCTGCTGTTGAATTGGAGTTTGATCTGCGCCACGATCTACCATCGCTCTCGCTAACGAACTACCGGCGCCTCGTCTCGTTTTTTTGTCGGTTAAATCTGGTTTGTTGATCGGAAGGATAGAGTAGCTCGGGGATCTTTGTTTGATTCTTTGTAATTCGGTGAGGTTTTCCTCTAAAAGTCTCTTCGGATCTTTTTGAAAAATACTAAATACATCTGAATTCATGTGGATTCCACTTGATGCTTTATCTGGGGATCTTTTTGGATACGGGTTCTTTCGATAGTGATTTTTCGGTAAAATCTTGTGATTTTTGATGTTTATAGCTGCATGTGTGGCTGATGATGATGATGATAATGATGTTGATGGTGCTGATGATGCTGATATTGATGATAATGATGATGTTGAGGATGATGATGGTGCGATTAAATTCAAATATGCTTGTGGCAGTTGCGCTAATAATTCACGCGGTGCTTCTGCCAATATGAAACGGTACTTGCGTGTCGTCGGATATGTAAGATAAGTTGGCGGTGTGAATGGAGTATGTTCGGTAATGCCGTCATTTGGTCCGAGTGAAGTGGCAGTGTTATGAGTATATAATAAATTTGTCACTCGAGCATCCTCTACGGGAGATATCGGTGGTGTATTTAAAATAGTGTTATTTGACAGATTTGCGAGTTTGAGGTTTTTCAATCTCTGTTGGTGACGATCAGTCGAGGATAAGAGCGCCTCCATTGTTTTTGAATTTGTACGGTGTGTGTCAAGTGCTTTAAGCTTGTAATAAGATTGAACACAAGATTTTCAAAGGTCGTGAACTGCTAATATGTCACAACGAATTAGTGATTGTTCTCACCGCTAATAATCGTGGTAAGAATAATATTAATTGACTAGAAAATAATAATTCGAATGGATGCTTAGCGAGACAAACAAGTTATCTCGATGAGGTCTTTATTTTGATGAATTAATTTTAACTAGAAAAATTTGCTATTAAAACTTTCTTTTGTTTCTACTCTTCTTTAATAATTAAAGATAAATGATGATAGGAAAAATTCCGATGTTCAAAGCAAATGTCGAGTTTGTCAGGCAGAGATTCCAACAATAACAGCGATAAATTTTACTCTAGTGCACACTATATATGATCTGTTGATAGATAGTTATGGTTTATTTCCATTTATATTTCAGATGCATGAATATGCATGAAATTAATTTATATTTATTATTACAACACGTATTATTATGTTAGTGCTTATGATAGGCGAAAAACGTGGTGTGTGGTATTCTATTTTACATTGCGCTTGTATTATTTTCCAAGGAAAAAAGTTATATTAAATTATTATTCCTTTTCATTTTTATTAATGTTTTTCCACGCTCTATATATATATATTTTTTATTATTATGAGGAATATTATTAATAATATTATTATTATCATCATCAAGCTGAAGCGTAGTCTTATCCTAATTATTATCTCTATGAACGATTTATGCAGCTGTAATTGATGCCGTGTATAGCGATTATATATATTTAATGTTTAACATAAACTACATGTATCCTATAGTATGCATTGTCGAATTCTTATTGTTACTCGCATCTCTCTCTGTGACTTTTAAAAGCACAAATGTAATCAAAAGAAATTATTTATCTCACATAGCTTGTATGCATCTGTATCATTGTTAATACAGGACAGGCTTTTTATTTTAACTACATCGAATGCGTGTTGCAGTAGATCTGTTTATCTATAGTCACGCTTCCAAGCATTCATCTGTTGTTATGATAACCTTGTGGATCAAGAAAAATATTCCATATCAAAATTTATCTATATTTTGTGTCTAATCTCGAACAAATCGATAAAAAAACTAGTTTTTGGTTTAGTTTATCTGTATGAATGCTTCTTTGTTCTTGTGTATGCGCAACGCCGCCGACATTGTATCTTTCTTCAAGATGTGGACAATGTACCACTACAATTTTGACTAACTTTTTTTGTGGTGTGTTGAATGTCATATTGTGGTCCACTTTATCTTTTGTGGGCTTTCTATTGAGTTGCTTTTTTGTCATTTCGCGAATTGCGATCGTGGCAAAGGAAAAAAGATTGAATCGAATGGATTCAGAAGGATTCCAACGAGAGAGAAGGAAAATTCTAACGGGCGCTCTGATTTGCGTTCCAACAAATGCGTGTCAGGATAAAGAATTGGATTGGTAAACAACATGAATTTTTTTGATCCCTGTGAATATTTATGTAGATAACAAACAAATAAAGCTTTGGTTTTTCGCACACTTATTTGATTACGCAAGAACTGTGAGAAAGTTTCAATTCATCTTTTTCCGGTTGATTGGAAATGGATTTTGTACCAAGGTATCCGAATCGATTCCAAATTTACAAGAAAATAATTATCACCTACTAAAAGTATAGGTCCTCTGTTCTTTCCCGATCAACAATTAACATAGAACTGAACCGGTAATGATTACATGCACAAGTATTAAATAAATTACCTAATACTACAAATTTTATTGGATCAATACTTTCGGGCGGGGGGATTGAGTGTACATCAGTAAAACATGCCTATTTTTGTCTCTGAATATATCGTGCATTTGCATATAAGTGTGTGCAGATAAATTATTTGAAAAATGCATGCAAACACGAAGTATAAGCATGACGATAAGGAATTATAAAATTAAAGAAATACCATCAACCCGAGCACCTAATCGGAATCGGAATCGAATCAGAAGAAACGTTATTAATAGGAGAAATCATTCAATGCTATTGACGGAACACAATCAGGATAAATTAACCCAGTTTCACTATTTTTTAATATGTATGGTGCAGATTCGTTCACGAACAATCGGCAATTATATGCTAATTAATTGCATTTATGAGTTCATAATAGTAATTTTCATTTACGGTGCATCATCATCAAACTTGGATTTCATAATGAAAAAAGCGTCTCAGGGAGTTAATGAGCGCGAGCAAGTATTCGCGCATTATTTCTTTTTCTTGTCGTTGATTTGTCGTCGCAACTGATGATGCATTGAAAAACAATAACATAGCTAAATAAACTTGAAAGATAACGACTTTTTTGGGAGGTACAATCGGTCTTTCATATCATCACCCCTCTATACAGTCACACACACCTTTCCCCCCGTTATGAGGCATAAAAAAAATTTGACCTTCGTGTAGTCACAACCTTTTTAAAATCACTCCCTTTTCTGTCCCAAGAATGTAGATGCTTCTTTGTTTGGAATTGTTTTTGCCTTCAGCCATTTGATTAGATAATCAATAACAATGATTAGATTATAATGTTTAAACCATTTTGATAAAAAAAATCTTGCATTTATTTATTATTAAGTATTTTTAATTTGCTGAAATTAAAGGTAACGTAGTTCGGTAATGTAAACTAGAATTAGAAACTAAGGTAATGTTGATCGGATCTTTAAGTTCTCGACATTTAATATAGCCACCTACCTTACATTTGGATCAATCCCGAGAAATGAAAACGGAACAAAATAGTAATCCTCTGCTCGATTATTTGTCATGATAATTATTCCTTTTTCAAAGCCCGGATCAAGCTCTGACGGCTCACATGCCCGACTATAACAGGAGATCTATGCGTATCCTAGTTCTTCTTTAACCTCAAAGCAAAAGTGTACTTTGGTGTGGAAAATTAAATTTTCTACAATGAAAGGCTCGATTTAACGAACTAATACGTCATGTTTACTGTCGTCACATCATGTGATAAAAAAATGTCATCGGTAATCTTTCTCGACAAAGTAGATCCACGTGATAACATTGGATCTGGTTGGTTATTTACGCAAAGGTCCCCAACCAAAGACAATTAATTTCTATTTCTGAATCGTCATAATTTTTTCACACCACCAGATAATAAGTAATTTGTTTTTGTTTCGACTCCTCTTTTTGAACAAACAATAGTATGAAACAATAATAACGAGAATAATTAGTAAAAAAATTTAACAATAGTCGGAATATAATTATTGCCAACCAACTTAATAATTTGCAGTAAAAGGAAAAAAACATGGTCAGTTCAACAAATACGCAACCGAAAGTAAAAACTGTTGAAATCGATCGGGTGGAACTTTCTAATGCTATTACTAAACTCTCCCTCTCTGATCAGCTCGCGTTGGAAAGTGGTGACGCATCGCCGACCAAAAACGTGTTGGTGGTGGAAAAGTTCAAGGATACTAATATGAAGGGGAAGGATAGGAACAGTAGCAATGATAGTAGTAATGGGGTCAACGGTACAGCCACAGAACTTTCTAGTCAAAATAGCCACAGTAATAATAATACTGGATCAAATGTCATTGCGAACGGGAAGAACTCTGAAGTAGTAAAGCAACCGACTGTTGCCGCAGCCGTTGCTGTTACGGAAAATAGTGCCGATTCCTTAAAAAACGAGGATGTCGTATCCCACAGCCCTCATAATAATGAAAAAAACAAGAACAATAGCGAGCAACAGGTGTCATCAACGTCTTCATCGGCAGAGACAAAAGAATCTCAACCGCCGAAGAAGATACCGATACCTGCACCGATCCCCCCTGTTAACTTTTGGGATGTCAGAAAAGAAGCTATGCAGAGTGCAAGAAAAGCACCTGCTAATACTAATAGTAATATGACTTCTGGTTTACATTCATCCAATGTGACCGTCTCTAATAATAATCGCGTTGAGAAACAATGCAAAGGATCTTTTATTGATAATAATATTAATAAACCTATAATCACAAAGGCAACATCATTAGCAAATACCACAACAAAATCGTCAACGATGGACAATTCAAACATCATTAAAGGTCAAGCATCTTTGGATGGTATGCATAATCGTAAATATCGTCATCATCATCCATAGATTCACCATTTAGTCGCAGTAAAAGATTTAATGAATTAATTCAATACGTTACTATCTTATAATGGAACTTGCAATGGAAATTATTAAACATTGACTATTTCTCAATTACCAATTAGATTCCAAAAAACTTTTAAAGAAACCAATCATTACAACAACCACCACCACTACCACCACCAAATCTAAATTATCTTCGATAATACCTCCCTTGGAAGATCAAAGCAGTTGGCCTGCACCGGGTGAAGTTTTGATAAAGGATAAGGAAAAAGAGGCAAATGAAAATACAGAGAGAAAACAATCTCCAGATATTTCTAAAAAAGAAGAAATCAGTTCGAAACGAGGTATTTTTAATTTTTTCCTTCGCATAATTGATTGATTCTTATTCTATAGTAATTGATAGGTAAGGGGAAATGGATCCCGTACACTCCAATAAAAATCACTCATTCCACGCCACTACCAAATCACGGGCAAAAACATCGTCGTCGCAGTGAAGCTTCAGTTCCACATACCGAACCTAAAGAACATCAAACAAGTATCGAAGAGCAAACTAATAATAACCCTGGATCTGAAACATTAACAACGACCACATCAGCATTGTCAGTATCCTCGTCACAACAAAATGGCAACTCTAATCCAAGACGACGTTATAGTTTACCACAGAATGGACGTGAACAATACAGTCGTCGTTATTCACAATCAAGTATCGATAATGGACAATATGTACGTCATACGAATAATTTATCATTTCGTGGTGGACGAAGAGGATTAGGCAGTAGAAGTAAGTATTAATGATATTTCTACATGGTAAATTCTAGTAATGGTGTTATTAAATATTTAATTTTTAAAAAAGGCCGACCGTTTAATGGAACTCGTGCTCTACCACGATCGGCGACATTTTCTTATTCTACCGGATGGCAACATCAATTTGGAAACGTATATACCGCAAAGATGCCTTCATATGTTTATGACTTGGAACTTTTAAAATTTCACATACTTCAACAAGTGTATGTATTCGATTTTTTTGTCATCATTTTCTGAGACGTTTTTTTTTTACATACTTATCACCTATTTGATGATTCCATTCAGGGAATACTATTTCAGTGTTGAAAATTTATGTAAAGATATATATCTACGAAGTAACGTTAGTATCAAGTGTTCAATTTGTTTTGGTGTTAATAAGTGTTTCCACGGAACTGTATTAATTAATTATGTGAAAATTTTAGATGGACACGTATGGCTTTGTTGACATATCATTATTGGCCAATTTCAATCGAGTTAAACTCTTGACTTTGGATGAAAAACTTGTTCGTGAGGTACGATAATCTATGAATGTAACTATATTCATTTACTTTTTAAAAATTATCAACTAACAATAATTAATGATTAGGCTCTCCTCAATAGTTATGTTATCGAGGTCAGCAATGACAAGGCTAGAAAACGTGATGGTTGGGAAATGTGGTTATTACCGAACCAAAACCAAGTAAGGAGTAAAATCTAATAATATTAGCTATAATCAAAGATTATAAACACTATATTGATTTAATTTAATTGCGTTATTATCTAGCAAAATATAAACGATCCAACTTTGGCAGAATCGACATATGATAATACCAAATCTCTAGTCTCAGAGGGAGAGTACGCAAATAGGAATAATGATTCTGAAACTATGAATCATGCAAACAAGGAAAATCAAGAGCCAAAACAAGAACAAGTAGTAATAGAAAATACCGCAGCAACAATTCCGTCAATGTCGACGATAAATGAATTGGATGAACCACCATCAAATACAACGACAACAACTTTTACTCATAATAATACATCCGAGAATTTTGAACCTTTGATCGCGACAGCATCGAGATGATTATTACGATTGTCACGAGAATGTCGAGAATGATGAAATAGAACAACAGAAACTATACAAACCAATACATATATATTTGCATTCCGAGAGACCGTTGTGTCATAAATTATTACGCGTAGAAGATTATGTATATACATATAGTCCAACGAGTATCCAGACTCTCGCTGTTTTTTTCTCCTTTCTTAATAAAACTGTTCCCTTAATAATCATTATTCTCTTATTATATTTTATACCAAAACCGAATCGTTAATTCTTATATCGATATAGACTTTGTAATGTAATATGCTTTCCATACACAAAATCATTATTTTCTTCAGTTGCTTTAGCTACTTTTGGGTGGTGTGTGATCGTGGTATTAGCATATTTTTTTATATATATCACAAGCATAATAATCTTTTCCTCTCTTGTCATAAAGTATTTTTCTATCATTTTTTCTTTACTGATAACAAATAATTACCATCATTTTTAATTATTATACACCATTAATATAATAACTCATGATATGAGTAGTTTGATTTTTTTGATTCTTTTATTTTTGGTCAACAATAAAAAAGCTATTGTTGATTTGTATGTATTTATAGCGAAAAACTGAAAATTATTGATTAATAGTGGCCTGATTGTTATTATGACGATCCTATGCTCCAAGGTTGTGTTTACTCGGAAAAATAAATCAAGTGACGAGATAGTTTATCCGATAATAATTCTGCCCGGAATTAAAGCGAGCTGTAATTGGAAACTGTGCTAAGTGACCAAAATTATCACCATTCAAATTCATCTTATCGAGGAAAATCTAATGAGTATTTTTCGCAATCCGACGTCGAGTTATCGTGTCCCGAAATAAGATGCACGGAAACGAGAGGGCGCAGGAAAATTAGTAGATTCATCCTAATCTTCCAGAATAACAGCTTCAAAGCCATCAGACGTAACTCTAAAATCACATTTTGTTAATCAAAGTTCTATCTGTTGGATTCTTGGCTGAATTTGTAATAATAACAGATGCTAGACTTTGGATTCTCCTAAAAATGTTCAAATATTAATAATTCAAGATGCCATTATTAAAATTAGAGATGATCTGAGAAAAAACAAGTTGCAATTTATTAAAAGTGAAACTAATAAAGAATAGTTTAATTTTTATTAAAGCAAAAGCATGCAATAAAATTTATAATAGCTATAGCAAAATTAAAAGTAGAAAAGATAAATAGTATTAAAAGCCAAATTCAAGAAAATATAATAATATTATCTTTACTAACAAAAAAAAGAAAAAAAATTATAAGAAGAATATTAAATATGAGATATACTGCAATAGAATCAGATAAAGTGAATTATAACTTATATATTAATTTATATAAATTAAAATTTTTATATTAAAAATATAATTAATACTTAATATAATTAAAATAAACTTTATTTAATATTATAATTATAATATGTTTTAGATAGAATTATTTTTATATAAAAATATAAATATAAAATAAAATTAAAAATTATAATATAATTAAAAAATTATTTCTTATACTTTTAAAATTAATAATATTTAAATTCTTGTAAAGTATCTAAATAAAAAAAATTACTTTATAAAATTTATTAATTTTTAAATTATTTTCTTATTTTTAATTAAAATTAACTTTTATTTTTTTAATTTTAATTTAAGTAATATATTAAATTTATTATTTCTTAAAAATTTAATCTTACTTTTAAGTTTCTGAATTTTATCTAATAATTTTTGAATTTTTGAATTATAATATTATATTGATTTTTGATTTTTGATATTATTTTGAGAGTAAAAAATCTCTACTATAAATAAGTTATACTTTTTATTTATTATTTTTGAGAGTAGAAGATCTTTACTATAAATAAATCATACACTTTTATTTGTTTTAGTTATTTAGTTTTCATACTTTAATTTTTATCTTTATTTTAATTATAGTCTTCTTTGATTAATAGCTTACTATTTAATCAATTCAAATCTTGAATTATATCAATTACTAGTAATTTTACTTAGTTAATCTTTATAATTTCTCTGATTTATTTATTTATTTATTTATTTTATTACTCTTTTTGAGACAATATCTATAGATATTGGCACAGGCTTTAGAAACCTTTATCATTATTGAAAGTTATAGTCTAATTCCCCTCTCTTTACCCTTTAATTATTTCAGTCTTTCCCAATCCTATATTATTAAGATAAATTCAAGTGAAACCCTACTTACCAATTTGTCATAATAATATTCTGATCTTTGTATTGGCTAAGATAATTATGATTTTTGCAAAGTATAACTTATTGGTCAAGAAATAGTTTTTCTTCTATTATATACTATATTAATATATTGTATTAATCTACTGGAAATTGTAAAATACTATTTGCAAATTTGATAATAATATTTAGCTATTGAATAATGAATTTTTATTAGAAATTAAATAAATTTATATATTGATTATTATTATTTGAAGAAGAATAAAACTTTGATTTATTTTTAAGTATAGAGATCTTTTTAAAAATATTTTAAAAACTGATTTCTGACCCTTTTGTAATGTATTTAGGAAGATTTTCTGTATTTTAAAAATATTATCATTATCAATAAATAAGTTTTTTCTTTATATAACAAATACTAATAATTTATTAAAGTTATATAAATAATGATAATATTATAACATTGATATAATATTAATAAAGAACAGATAAAGTATGGTACAGATTTTTTTTACAGCCTGATAAAGTATAATAATTATAATAATCTGTTATATAAATAATACATATTCAAATATTTTTACAGATCATCAAGATGATCTAAGAAATCTTTCAAAAATAATTCTTTAAAATTAACTAATATAATATTATTTAATATAGATCAACTAGAAATGCAAATTTCTAATCAAATAAAGGATCTATTTAGTTATATAGTTATGAAAAGTAGACAAGATCTTTTAAAGTTTTTTTATAAGTATAAAAATTATAAAAATTTCTAATTAAATTTCTTAAATTTACTTTAATAGGTTCAAAATTCTAATAATTAACTCTATCTTCTCTTACATTTGCTATTTTATCTTTACAATCTATTTTTTTATCTGCTGTTTTATCTTTTATTTTATTTATTACTTTATCTGCTACTTCATTTACTACTTCATTTTCATCAGATTAGTAAACTAATATCTATAAAAAACTATACAGAAATATTATAAATAAATATTTTTGCTAATTTCTTTCTATATATATAATAGATAATAAAAATAAATATAAAAAATTATAGATCTTATTATAATTTCTTTTCATTTATTATCTTATTCTTTTATATGTTAATTTGCTCTATTTAATCATTTGTCATTTAGTAATAATATGAAGATTAATAATATTAAGTATTCTTTATCATTAACTTAATTTCTATTTATTTAAGTACTAAATAATAAAAGATCTTTGATCTATGAAGAATTCAATCATATAATAAATATTTTAAACAAAAAAATTAATAATATATATTATTTTTATTAATTTTTAGATAATTAAATACAAGAACAAATCAAATTAATTAAAAAATTAGTCACCACTGATAAACTATCTGAAATATTCTGAAAAATACTTATCTTTGATCATTTTCAAAGTTAAAAATTAATTTGCAAGATCTACTAAAGTTCTTTTTTCTATTATTCTATATAGCAAGCATATAAGAAGATAGTTAAAGAGTTAATTCTTAAGAAATATTACTAAATATTAAAGAAATATTTGATAGAAAATGCTAAAGATTATATTAATAATCTAGATCATAATATTAAATATTTATATTCATAAAAAAATATATTCATTAGATTTATTATAAATTATATAAATCTATAAATTTTTTACTAATTATTTTTGTTTGATAAGAGCAAAATGCTATAGTAAATATAATAATTACACTTCTGCTATTTAAAATATCATCTTTTTAATATTTAATAAAGAGAAGTTAGTAAGAATTAATAATAATATATCTACTATCCATCTTGCTAAATAGAAGAGGAGAGCAAAAAACTTGAATTATATATAAAAATCTTTTTTACAATAATAAATTATTCACAAATATTAATTATATAGTATTTAAGAAATATAAAGAGAAAGCATCATTAATGATGCATTATATATTTATCCTAGCTATTATGATATTCTTCTTAATCTGTCAAGTCCAGAAATTAAATGCAAAGATAGGTTAATAGTAAGATATGTAAACATATTTATGATAAGTAATACTTTAAATTTACTTAAAGTTTGTATTAAAAATTATTCATATAATAGATATTTAGCAAGCTATGAAAAATAACTAACTAGTAATATCAGAAATAATGGCAGAGATAATAGAAAAAGAAATTGAAAAGGTAAAGCAATTAACAAAGAAAAAATATCAAAAGTCATAAGCTAAGAATATAATTAAAGAAGATAATGATGAGAAAAATGATGATTATGATAATTTTATAAGTTTTTTTAATACTTTTTGCAATTTGTTTCTTTAAAGTTTTTAAAAAATTAATTTTTTATTTAAAAGATCATTAACTTAGAATGTGAATTTATATAGTGTGTAACAAAAAAACTTAACTATACTAAATTCATTATAAATTCATGAATATTGCATTAAATTTACTAATTAATATATCATTTAAAAGTAAAAAAGATATAGAATAAAATTTAATATACTTAAAAATTGATTTATTTATCTTTACTTTTTTTTTTCCAAAAAGGGAGGGTGAAGCAAGAACCCATTTATTGAATAAATGTGCGATATAGAATTAAGGTACAAGTGATTTATATAGTAGGTCTATTTGTTTGGTAAATTTATTATTTTGGAAACTATCTAGGTGAATTTTTGCATCTCTGAAAAGAATATGCGGAGCTGCTTTTATGATTTGAGTTTTGGACTCTTTGATATTGAGATTGAGTCTAGCAGAAGTCCACCAAACATAATCAATAAGCCAGGAGAAGAGCCAGAGAGTAGCAAGAAAGAAGTCATTAGGATGTTAATTTAGGATATAGATAA